GCTCTGCCAGCACCGCGGCGCCGCGCGGCGGCCGGGAGCGCGGGGGCGGCGGGCTCTGCTTCGCGAGCCTCGGCGGGAGGCAGGGGAGGAGGACGGTGCGGTCGAAGGCGCCGGTGGGCGCCCTGGCCGAGCGGGTCGTCCTCACCCCGGCGCCGGCGGAGAGGGTGGCCCGGCCGGAGGCGCACCCGCAGAGCGTGGCGGCGAGGGCCGTGGTCACCGTGCGCCGGAAGCGCAAGGTGGAGGTCAAGGAGCAGGTCGCCGAGCAGATGGACGCCTACGCCGACAGGGTCGGCCGGAGCGTCCTGCTCGAGCTCATCAGCACGGAGACAGACCCAAGTAAGCCACCGCGCGAAGCTTCCCTGCCGCGTTTGAAGCCCTCGTCGGCTGCATCTTTGAATCGAGCTTCTCCTTTTCTTCTCCCCCGCTTTCCGTTCGCCGCCTCAGCTCCAGGGGCGAGAATATTCCAGCTGGTGTCTCTTGACCTGCGCGTGCGCGCCTTCGTTTTCGAGTCATCGTGTCCACATGGAAACCGAGCGTACCAACCTACCCATCGCTCTGTTTATTGATTTGATTTTTCTTCTTTTCTTCCCCGCATGTGGCATGTTTGTGTCGAGTATCAAAATCAGAGCGAATCATTGGATGCAAGCATGCATTGAGCTGAGTGGATCTTCGCTTTTTCTCTGCTGTTGCCAGGAAAGGGAGGCCCCAAGAAGAGCAAGAAGTCGAAGCTGGTGAGGTGGTTCGAGAAGCGGGACGTCAAGGCGGAGCTGGTGGTGTACACGGCGGAGTTCACCGTCGACGCGGCCTTCGGCGAGCCGGGCGCGGTCACCGTGCTCAACCGGCACCAGCTCGAGTTCTTCATCGAGAGCATCCTGGTGGAGGGCTTCCCGTCCGGCCCGGCGCACTTCACCTGCAACTCGTGGGTCCAGCCCACCCGCGTCGACCCGGCCCCGCGGGTCTTCTTCACCAACAGGCCCTACCTGCCGTCCAAGACGCCGCCGGGGCTGAGGGAGCTCCGGCGACGGGAGCTCAAGGAGCTGCGCGGCAGCGGCACCGGCGTGCGCAAGATCACCGACCGGGCCTACGACTACGACGTGTACAACGACCTGGGCAACCCGGACAAGGGCGAGGGGTTCGAGCGCCCCGTCCTCGGCGGCGACAAGCTGCCGTACCCGCGCCGGATGCGGACGGCACGGCCAAGCACCGTCACAGGCAAGTCGCTTTCCCTCCTCCTTCTTCCTCTCTTCTCCTTGATGGCCGCCTTGCCTTGACACCACCGTCGGCGTCGAGTCCACCGATCCATCCATCCATCCATCCAATAAATTCTCCGATAGCAACAGTGTCGTCCCCGACATGGCGGGAGCGAAACCGTCGGTCCGGCTCCGGCGCGTTGCTTTCGTATCCGAACCACCCGATCGTCACTGACGTTGACACTGACCCGCCGCGGCCGTTGCGTTTGGTTTGGGTGCAGACGAGGGCGCGGAGAGCAGGGTGGAGTACCCGGAGCCCATCTACGTGTCGCGCGACGAGGAGTTCGAGGAGGGCAAGAACGAGATGCTGTCCGAGGGCGCCATCAAGGCGCTGCTCCACAACTTCATGCCGCTGCTGGTGAGCTCCGTCTCGCCGGACAGCCGCGACTTCGCCGGCTTCCACGACGTCGACAACCTCTTCAAGGAGGGCCTCCGCCTCAAGCAGGCCCTCCACGACCAGCTCTTCCAGAAGATCCCCTTCGTGCGCAAGATCCAGGAGAACAGCGAGGGCCTCCTCCGCTACGACACCCCCGACATCATCAAGAGTAAGAAGCCCTCCACCGAATCGTCCGTCCATCACCCACTGAGATACGATAAGATACGCCATGGCTTCTTGTTTTGTACTGACGCTGTTTTGTTTTCTTGGCTTGGCCTGTTGTTGCAGAGGACAAGTTCGCGTGGCTGCGCGACGACGAGTTCGCGAGGCAGGCGCTGGCTGGCATCAACCCCGTCAACATCGAGCGGCTTCAGGTAAGCCGTCCCTCTCGCGCGGAACACGGCAACTCTGCAGCTTCCAAAACAGAGCTGCACAACTGTGCGTTGCTGTCTGCAAACTCTCTCTGTGCGTGCAATGGGCCTGAGGAAAGCGTTTCGCCTTCTTTCTAGGTGTTCCCGCCGGTGAGCAAGCTTGACCCGGCTGTCTACGGCCCGCCGGAGTCGGCCATCACGGAGGAGCACATCATCGGGAACCTGGACGGCATGTCGGTGCGGCAGGCGCTGGAGGAGAACAAGCTCTACATGCTGGACTACCACGACATCTTCATGCCTTTCCTGGACCGGATCAACTCGCTGGACGGCCGGAAGGCCTACGGGACGCGCACGCTCTTCTTCCTGACGGCCGGGGGCACGCTGAAGCCCATCGCCATCGAGCTGTGCCTGCCGCCCATGACCGACGACTGCAAGCGCGCCAAGCGGGTGTTCACGCCCCCCGCCGACGCCACCAGCATCTGGCTGTGGCAGCTCGCCAAGGCCCATGTCTGCTCCAACGACGCCGGCGTCCACCAGCTCATCAACCACTGGTACGCCTCTCTGAACATACCGATTCAGAATTCCCACTGCCGGCGATGGTGGCAGACGAACTGAGCTGAGCGATCGTTTTGGCGGTGCAGGCTGAGGACGCACGCGTGCATGGAGCCCTTCATCATCGCGGCGCACCGGCAGATGAGCGCCATGCACCCCATCTTCAAGCTGCTCAAGCCGCACATGCGCTACACGCTCAAGATCAACGCGCTGGCGCGGCAGATCCTCATAAACGGAGACGGCGTCATCGAGTCGGGGTTCACCCCTGGCCGCTACTGCATGGAGATGAGCTCCTTCGCCTACGACAACCTCTGGCGGCTCGACCAGGAAGGCCTCCCCGCCGACCTCATCAGAAGGTACCTACAAGCTTCACTTCAAATGGCTCTGCTCCTATCGACCGTTGCAGTAGCACAAAAATTCATTTGGTGCTTGGTTTGTCGCAGAGGTATGGCGGTGGAGGACGCGAGCCAGCCGCACGGGCTCCGGCTGCTCATCGAGGACTACCCCTACGCCACCGACGGGCTGCTCCTCTGGTCGGCCATCGCGCGGTGGTGCGAGGCCTACGTGGCGGCCTACTACCCGTCCGACGAGGCCGTGCAGGACGACTACGAGCTGCAGTCGTGGTACACAGAGGCCGTGCAGGTGGGGCACCCGGACAAGCGCGACGCGCCGTGGTGGCCGCGCCTCACGACGGCCGGCGACCTCGCGTCCCTGCTCACCACGCTGGTGTGGCTGTGCTCGGCGCAGCATGCGGCGCTCAACTTCGGCCAGTACCCGCTCGGCGGCTACATCCCCAACCGGCCGCCGCTCATGCGCCGGCTGGTGCCGGCCGAGGGCGACCCGGAGTACGAGCACCTCGTCGCGGACCCGCACCGGTTCTACCTGTCGGCGCTGCCCAGCCTCACGCAGACGACGACGTTCATGACGGTCATCGACACGCTCTCCACGCACTCCGCCGACGAGCAGTACCTCGGGGAGCGGCCCAACGAGTGGACGGCGGACCCGGCGGCGCTGGCTGCCGCGCGCGAGTTCGCCGCGGAGGTGCGCCGCGCCGAGGAGGAGATCGAGCGGCGCAACGCCGACCCCTCCCGGCGCAACCGCTGTGGCGCCGGCGTGCTGCCGTACGAGCTCATGGCGCCGTCGTCCGGGCCGGGCATCACCTGCCGAGGCGTCCCGAACAGCGTCACCATCTAGCCCGCAGAGAGTAAATTCAAGGGACCGTGGGAATTTTTCAGCCTCGATATACTTTGGGCAGGGAACGTCTCAGGGAAAGTAGATAAGAGAGAAACGCCATTGATTTGGGCCCTCGCCGTGAAGGGCCGAATCGCCATTGATTTGGGCCCAGATAGGAGAAGATTTAATTGCATTTTTTTTCTGTTCAAAAACTGGGGCATGCTAATATAGTGGAATGTGTAAATGATCTTGTAAGTTCCTAAAGTAAAGGGATTCCGACAGATGCTTGAAACATGTGTAAATCAATGGAAAATAATTCAGAGTACTAGCTCAAAACTTGCTTGAGAACATCATAACAATGGAAAGTAATTCAGAGTAATACCTCAAAATAATCCAGTGCCAATTTTGTCATGGCTTACTTGGTTGGCCTACATTAGAAAACAACATCACAATGGAAACTAAATCAACGAAATGTAATGTTACTGTAACTATATGTACAATATCAATTAGTAGATCCACACTTGGCCCAGCTGCATTGGTCCAACTCATAATGCAAAACTTTGAACAAAGGCATACCAAACATCGAAAGGGAAAACTGTGTAGATTGCCAGTAAAAACCGGAATCGTTTAGCTAAATATCTTGAAATAGGTTTTTGCCCCGCTTTATAAATAAAGCACCAACGCGCGTTCATACACAAGTCATCCAAGTATGAAGAAAGGAAACAATAAGTCTGTTGGGGCAACAAAAAAAACATGAGCTAAAAGTGGAAAACAAACAATGCAAGCCACTACTAAGGGGCGCCAAGAGTTGATGGGTGACGAACTGCAGACCATCCAGTATGCAACCCAGCGAGTCCATGTCCCGCCGCCTACAGAACGAACGCCGATACTACATAAAAAGCAACATTTTAAACACAAAGTCAGCGACACATCACACAAAACCTTCTCGGTAGCCATACTATTGTGATGTCATCCATAAGGTCTAGATCATTGCCGCGAACACCAAATAGAAATGGGCATCTCCTCCTCCTAGTATATGGAGCCTTCGTGTCCAGAAAGTCACCTAGGTCTGAGCCTTGCCCCTTGGACCTATAGCCTCACGAACACAGCTCCACGAAAGGCGGGCAATGGGACTAAAGAAGATATGCGTCCATGATTTGGACACCACGTAAAGGGGACAAAGGCCATCACTATGCCCATGTCGCTTTGCCACTTCCATGACCGAGGAGGGAGGCCTCAGAGCAGTTGTCGAATGAAGATCGAACACTAGTGCCTATTGTTGTTTTATGGTTTGGATGTGTCTGAGGGAGTCCTGGACTAAGGGGTCATCGGGCGTCCGGCCTGTTGGACATGGGCTGGACTATTGGGCCATGAAGATACATGATAGAAGACTTTCTCCCGAGTACGGATGGGACTCTCCTTTGCGTGGAAGGCAAGCTAGGCGGACGGATATACTATTTCCTTTCTATGTAACCGACTTTGTACAACCCTAGTCCCCTCCAGTGTCTATATAAACTGAGGTGTTAGTCCGTAGAGAACAATCATAATCAGGTAGGCTATACTTCTAGGGTTTTAGCCATTACGATCTCGTGGTAGATCAACTCTTGTAACCCCCATGCTCATCAATATTAATCTAGCAGGATGTAGGGTTTTACCTCCATCGAGAGGGCCCGAACCTGGGTAAACATTGTGTTCCCTGTCTCCGGTTACCATCAACCTCAGACGCAAGTTCAGGACCCCCTATCCGAGATCCGCCGGTTTTGACACCGACATTGGTGCTTTCATTGAGAGTTCCGCTGTGTCGCCGCCAAGAGGTTCGATGGCCCCATCAATCATCCACAACAACATTGTCCAGGGAGAAACCTTCCTCCCCGGACAGATCTTCGTGTTCGGCAGCTTCGCACTGCGGGCCAACTCGCTTGGCCATCTAGAGCAGATCGATAGCTACGCTCCTGGCCACCAGGTCAGATTTGGAAGCTTGAACTACGTCGCGGACATCCGCGAAGACTTGATCTTCGATGGATTCGAGATCGCGGCAGTAGCCGCTCCATGTCACCACGATGAACATGGCTTAAATCTGTCATCGAACTACACCCAGGAGATAGAACCTACAACTACTTCGGCTCTAGATCTGGAGCAGGTCACGCCGTCCGAGGACGGGAGGCTCAACCCCGCCATGGAGGCCGCAGACTCAGCGGCGTTGGAGCCACACACAGACCCAACCTCAAGTGAGATCTGTGTTACCAGAACCCCGGACACGTTTCCGGCTACAGGTTCCAAAGCCTGTGCATCCGCGCATGATGAGCTTGATCGGTCGTCGATCGTTGAATTCAGCTCCGCAGACATCTTTCGGCACTCACCTTTAGGCGACGTGCTAAACTCATTAAAAACACTCTCCCTAGCGGGGGACTCACAACCAAATTATATCCGGTTTGAACTGGAGGCCGACGAATTTCGCTTCCCACCCCCCGCCCACTTAATAGCCACTGTCAAAGACTCAACTGACATGCTCAATTATGGCTCCGACGACATCGACAGTATGTTCGACGATGCCGGAGAAGAAGAGGCCCAAAACCTGCCATTCACCAAACGCGGAACGGCCACTTCCTCGTATGACGTATACATGGTGGACGCACCAAAAGAGAATATCGGAGATGACAAGGAAGATCCGGTCGAGGATAAGCCTCCCGAGATACAACCAAAGCGTAGACGTCAGCGGTGCCTCTCTAAGTCACGCCGCAACAAAGATAGCAACACAGGCACAGGAGAAGATAACACTCCGGACTGTGCCGAAGACAATGAAGACCTCGGTGATGCAACTTCCGAACAAGATGAACGGGAAGATGGGCGAATTAGCCCTGATAAATAGGCCACGCAGGAAGACTCGGAGGACTGTAATTATCTCCCGTACTCCGAGGGGGAGGCGAGCCTCGGCACCGAGGATTTTATCGTTCCCGAGGAACCTCTTGAGCAGGAGCGCTTCAAACGCCAGCTAATAGCCACTGCAAGGAGCCTGAAAAATAAACAGAAGCAGCTTCAAGCTGATCAAGATCTGCTCAATGATAGATGGACCGATGTCCTGGCAACCGAAGAATACGGCCTCAAGCGCCCAACCAAAATTTACCCGAAGCACAAATTGCTACCTCAGTTCGATGACGAGGCGCTGGAGCCCGTACCATCATTGCGCAATGCGGCTGACCGACCAGCACGCGGTCAGGATAAAGCGGCAACTCAAGTCGAACATAAAACAACTCAAGGACACACATATGACCTACTGCAGGACTCAGACGGTAGATCAGGTCAGAATAGATAAATCTGCGGATCACGGAGACGTGCCCCGACACGCGATAACGGCTATCTAGCCAAACACAATAGCTATACTCACGTCTGGGCCGCGAACCGTAGACGGACTCTATCCGAGCTACGTCGCGATGCGGCCCGATACAAAAGCGCCACTCACCCACTTTGCTTCACTGAAGAAGTAATGGACCACGAATTCCCAGAAGGGTTTAAACCCATAAACATCAAATCATACGATGGAACAACAGATCCCGCGGTATGGATTAAGGACTTTCTTCTCCATACCCACATGGCCCGCGGTGATGATCTCCACGCCATTAAATATCTACCACTAAAACTAAAGGGACCAGCTCAGCACTGGTTAAACAGCCTTCCGGAGAACTCCATTGGCAGTTGGGAAGACCTGGTAGTCGCCTTTCGCGATAACTTCCAAGGTACATATGTCCGGCCACCACATGCCGATGACTTAATTCACATCATCCAGCAGCCTAGAGAGTCAGCCAGAAAGCTCTGGACGAGGTTCTTAATTAAAAAGAACCAAATTGTCAACTGTCCGGATGCCAAAGCCCCCGCGGCCTTCAAACACAGCGTCCGAGATGAATGGCTTGCTCGCCACATCTGTCAGGAAAAAACCAAAATCCATGACAGCCCTTACCGCTCGGAGAAGACAGCTGGCTCGCTCGTAAGAGCAATGGCACCAGCGACCCAGGAACTTCCGAAGTCCGAGACGGCAACGAAAAGCCAAAATGCAATAAATACAAGCGTCATAATAATGATGAAATAACACAAGACACAACAGTTAATGCCGGATTCAGTGGCTCCAAGCCCGGTCAACGAAAAAAGCCATCCAAGCCAAATAGAGACGGACCATCCAACCTCGATAAGATATTGGATCGGCCATGCCAGATTCATGGCTCCCCCGATAAACCAGCTACCCATACCAACAGAAGATGTTGGGTCTTCAAACAAGCCCACAAATTCAAAGCCGAACACAAGGGGAAGGGGTCGCCTAGTGACAGCGATGACGAAGAGACTCGCCGGCCGAATACCGGGGTTCAGAAGCAATCCCCCCCAAAGTGCAAACAGTAAATATGGTATATGTTGGGGAACATAGTAATTTCAAAGAAATCCTACGCACATGCAACATCATGGTGATGGATAGCAACGATAGGGGAGAGTGTGTCCACGTACCCTCGTAGACCGAAAGCGGAAGCGTTAGCACAACATGGTTGATGTAGTCGTATGTCTTCAGAATCCGACCGATCAAGTACCAAACGCTTGTCACCTCCGAGTTCTGCACACGTTCAACTCGATGACATCCCTCGAACTCCGATCCAGCCGAGCTTTGAGGGAGAGTTCCGTCAGCACAACGGCGTGGTGACGATGTTGATGTTCTACCATCGCAGGGCTTCGCCTAAGCACCGCTACGATATTATCAAGGTGGACTATGGTGGAGAGGGGCATGACACACGACTAAAAGATCCAAGAGATCAATTGTTGTGTCTATGGGGTGCCCCTCTCCTCCGTATATAAAGGGGGGAGGAGAGGGCCGGCCAAGGGGAGGAGGCGCGCCCAAGTGGGGAGTCCTACTCCCACCGGGAGTAGGACTCCTCCTTTTCCTATTTGGAGAGGGAGAGGGAAGGAAGAGGAAGGAGGGAGGAAGGAAAGGGGCGGCCCCCCTCCCAATTCGGATTGGGCTTGGGGGGGCACCTCCCTTGCTC